AATAAAACAGCGGAGACATCATCAGACCGCGTGGCTGAGGACCACAAATCGTCTTGAATGATCATTTATTATATCCTTACAAATTGAGGCCAGTAGAGGAGGATGACTAAATGCTGGAGGAGGTCTCAAGACTAAATTACTACAAGAGCTAATTACAGTGCAATAGTGTGTGTCTTGCATAAAAACTTTTTCTCTGGAAAGGTAATTAAAGATTACAGTGAGTTCTGTGAGATGAGTCAACTGCTTAGTACTATCCTCGCAAATGAAAAAAAGTAAGCCATGGATCAACAGAAAAATTATGAAACAATCTAAGATGAAACATCTTGCATGGAAAAATATAAAGAACTTTGCTTACTGCGTCATTAATGATCTAAAGTAAAGACGTGACAACAAAAGGAAAAATATGGAGTACAATTATTGAGGAAGGATTTAATTGCTTTTATTTCTACATTTGTAACTAGACACAGGTAAACTGCACACCTATATACATAAAGGAACAAGAAACAACTTGTCACTAACCACACAGAGAATTGCTGAAGTGTGTGTAGACTACTTTGAAAAGGTATATGCGTCACAACTAAATGGAGTGCTCCCAACAGTCCAGGCTAGACACTTGAACCAATAGAAGATTTGAAATCTCATGTATTACTGTTGCTCAAATCTGTGTGGACTTAGCGAAAGCTTTGCAGCAGGTCTGGGAATATCCCACAGTTTACCTGAAAGTGTGCTTTGCAACTAGCTACTACTTAGCCCTTTCTGCCCAGTAATTACAGGCCTGTAAGAATGACTAGCACAGCAGGGAAAGTATTGGAGAGACTTGTTGCAAGGAAACTATTAAACACACCCTTTCTAACAACATTGTTCTCGACAGCAACATGGATTTTTTCGTAGAAGATATACTACTACAAACTTATTCACTTGATGTCTGGACTAAGGCATAGATGAATGAAGTTGTATGAGCGTCATCTACTTAGTCAAAGCAAAGCAAAGCAGAGACTATTGCTGAAACTTGAAGCTTTAGAAATCGAGGAAAACTACTTCGATGGATCCAGGAGAACGAATTAAAATCGGAGTGGAATTGCTACGCAGATGACACTAAATATTCTGTAATATCGCTGTGACCAATTATCACAAAGGGAGGTACGTCCACACGAGTGCGCCGGTGGGTAGTACATTACAGGTCGCACACGCTAAATTTATTTAAGGGCTCCAAGCGTGCATCTTACTCCATCCAGCTCCGCATTGAGAATGCCAGGGTGGGCTGCTGTGGGTCGAAGGAATGCAGATGTCTACTAATTGAAAAATACACCATGGGAAATCTTTTAAGTGTAACCACATCATTGATGATGATGATTATTATTATTATATTTCGTTACCCCCTCTTCGGTGGGATTGCACACACGCGGGCCGTTATCGGGGTCGTTCAAGTTGTGAAGACACGACAAAGCTCTTCTGAAGGCCTCTCGTGCTCCCGTCTCACGTGCTCAGGAAATTAGCAGCTGCTCGCAACCATTCTCGTGGCAATGAATACACGATGTTATATGCGCCAGGCGAGAGGGCTGCCAGACGACACCACCCGCGTCACGCACTCGATATGTCGCAGTCATATGTCGAGCGTCGTGGCTTGAGCACATTCGAGTGCCTTTCGGGTATCGGTCCGACTGGTCCGTCGAACGGATTAACTCCGTAAGTACTTCAGTTCTCTCACAAATTCTCACACCCTGTAAGTTTTCTTTTTCCTGCTTGATGCTCCCTCACTATCCTGTCCCTTTATCAGGACCGGATTTAAGTAGTGCGGCCCAAGACAAAATGTGTTGCCTCCCCCTCCCGAAAAAAATAGCTCCATCTTTATTAAATAAAAAATGTATTATATACAAGTACATTTCTGTACAGATACAAATGAAAACTAATAATTTTTTATAGAATTTTTTAAGTTGTATGTTACAGGTTACATTTTTTTTACATTAAATACATTTTACATAATTTTTTTTCTGCTCTTCACTGCAGAAAATTGGTTGATGTCTTCAAAACGAAGATTTCTCAGCTTCTGCTCCATACTCAGGATACTTAGGTTTACTAAATTTTCGTATTTAAAAAAATATGGTATGCGTATTTTTCCGAAACGCGGGACCCCTGGTGAATAGGGGCCCCCAAGTAACTGCTTGTTTTGCTTGTAGGTAAATCCGGCTCTGCCTTTATCCCATTTGCTCCATCATGTGCGTGATACTTCGTAACTTATTGGCTATTTCATCTGACTTCTCGAATATTCCACTTCTATTTTCCATGGATTTGACCCAGGCAATCCCTCCCCTACTTGTAATGCTTTTAATTGGTCGCCTTCACAGGTCACGATCACGGGCTCGTGCGGAGCTCAGGGTATGGCTGGCCATCTGCCTACTGGATGCTGTCTCACTGATCACTTTATGACACGATCCCAGAGATTAGCGGTCTGAGTGCCTCCGGACTCCCTAATGCGACTGTTCCGATGAAAAATAATATGGGAACAAGAAGTGAGGCAGGATGGTAGGAGGCTCCCACCAGTCTTTGAAGGGTGACTCGTGTAGAGGGCCCATGGGAATGTGACTTTGTGAGCCTGCTAAGCCTTTTGTAGGGGTGGAGGCTGCCAAGGGATGGTGCTCGCTAGCCAGCCAACATGTGCGTGTCTAAATGTTTGGAGCGGGGCCCAGTGCTCCGAGGAGCTAATGCGCATAACAAGATTCTGTCACGCGACGCGAATGTCGCCACACATCGCAATATGGAGACCCAATATTACACTACCTTAATATTCAAGATGATTTGCACAAAATTTGGGAGTGTTTGACTTCTTGGCTACTTCCTTTGAGTAGTAGTTAGTGTACAATTTTACACCTTGGAAGAAATAACCCTAGGTACCAGTACTCAATTGGGGGGCATACCCTATCACCTACAACAACTCAAAATGACAGGAGTAATCATAATGAAGAACTTGGAAGAGGAAAATCAAGTAGCTGCAGTCCCCAGAAAAGTGCATTCTGTACGGAAAATTTACATTATGTGTACATGGTCAATTTTGGAATATGTAGCTGATGTCTGGTCTCCATAATATAGGAAGGACATACAAACTCTAGAGAAGGTATAAAGGTGAACAACAAAAAATCTCTACAGATCTACATCACTCAACATGTGAGACAAGATGCCACAAAATATCCTTATTGACATTGAAAGAGAGAAGGCAGAGAGGGGACCTCATTGTGGCTTTCAAAATCTTGAATTAGGCTTATAGTACTCAAACTGTAAATAATTGTTTTGAGAGGTGCTCTGATTCAGAACACAGAGGACATAATTTGAAAAATAAACTGGGACTGACTAAAACTCTACTTTGACCTTTTTTTTTTAACAGAGTAATAAACACATGAAATAGCCCATCTCCTGAGAATGCTAAAGAGAACAGGCTAATCTCATGTATAAAATATTTAGGTAGATTGTTGTGTAAGATATGAAATATATATCACAGTAGCATTGCAAGGCGGCTTTAAAGTGAAAGATGCGGTCAGTGGCACTGCGGGGGCAGGTAGCAAGCTGAGCGCATGATTATCTTTGTAATCACTGTTTCGAATTCATCCTTGTGGTAGGGACTTATCATAGAAACAGCCTTTTTATCCATCCATTTCAAACTTGAAATGGGACTCAAGTGTTGATTGATGTACTCACCTCGCTTCAATTTCTTTTCTTGCAATATTATCAGAACATTTTTTCTGTTCCAAGATAATGTTCCTACACAATGTGTTCTCTTTTTTTTTAACATCGCAGCATATGAGGAGGAGTTGTAATATTTGTCCACCCATTAAGTGTGATCCTTATTTAGCAAGGACTGTATTAATTTTAAAGCAATTTTTATCATTTTATTTATAGTATGTGTGACAGTCACAATAATTTCATGCTATATGTAGTACATAGAAGCCAAAGTATTGTAAATTAATTGTTGCTTTAAAAAACATTTGCAAAGAAATAGAAACACTTCAAATAATATTAAAATATTTCTATCAAAGCACATGAAAAGAAACTGAAAACACACCATAACACACTAATTGACTGTGCACTGCACTGTCAAGAGACCAGCATAGATGGCACAGTGCAAATGAGAGGAAAAACAGGTAAAGGTCCCTTCCATCCTGAGACGGCATACTGCAAAAGGAAAGGAAAATCCAACCTGCCCGGGTACGGCATACCGCGTTTAGAAAAGAAAGAAAATTGCCGTTTACAGACAGCATACCACGCTGAAGGGGATTAAGCAGAGTTCACAATCATTTGGATCACATATAGCTTGGAAATTATTCTTTTTCTCCTTTTTTCTTCTTCTTAATAATAATAATAATAATAATAATAATAATAATAATTATTATTATTATTATTATTATTATTATATTTTTCTTATTCATATTATTTTTTATTCTTTTCATTCTTCTTATTATTATTCCTTTTTCTTTTTTTCCTATGGAACCCATCATCTTTCTTCATTTTGTCTTACCTCTGTAAATAAACTAAAAAAGATCACTTGGAAAATTACTAGGAAAACTGAGAACCTTGCAAGTTATCCTTATCTGCATAGTTAAGTTAGATAGTTAATTCTTAAAAATAATATTATGCATTTCTTTGTTTATCCCATTGATGAAAAATTAAGTTCCCAAAGTTCGTGTTGTTTAGTTACAACCCCTACAATTCTTCAGGAGAACCTGAGAGGTTTGTACACTCTACTCAGTCAAAAATTATAAAATCCAAAAACTTGTTTATTCAGGAAATCTAAAACGAGATTTACAACATTTTAAAATTTTGTGTCCTAGGTGCTATGTGATTTTCATGGATTTTTGTTAGGAATGGCTGGACGAGTGCCACTCTTCAATGCACCACATCTGCCAGCACCTCCAATGCCTCCAGAGAATATCGTCACGGAGCAAGATCGTCAGATGCAAGTGCAGTATGAGCAGTGGCTGAATCATCAACATCAAGTCGTGTCGAACCAGCTCAAGTACTATGAAACAGAGGTGAACAAATTGCGCAAAATCCGCAAGGTGAGATAGCTGTAGTCTGTTAAGTTAAATTCCCATCTCAGTTTCCGTGTCTTGGTTTTTGGTTTCACTACATGATTAGATGTTTTAGGGGAGATGGCTTAATTAAGCTTTATAATTAAGTATTTTATTTTGTTAGTTATATCTGAATTTATTTAATTGAGCACTGATTTGATTTGATTTGTGTGCTACTATTTTTTTAGTCAATTTGTAATCTTTTAATTTAAATTAAAATGTTTATCTTCAGAACCTAAATAATAATGCTAGCCTCCATTTTAAATGTGATTATGTAATTTCACGTATGATTTTTAAAATTTTCTTTTCTTTTCCCATATTAATTCAAAATTTTCAGAATTATACCCAGGACTTGCTCATTACAAATGACCCAATAATACATATTATGCTAATCTTCAGCTTTCATGTATTCCTAAAGTACTTATTTTTCTAAATTTTTATAGTAATTATTTTTCACATAATTCATAGAAGATTCTGGATGATCTTTTTGTAGCCTGCCCTTGCTCTGACTATGACTGACTTTCTTACTTATTTAAAACAGCCAACAAGTGGGAAATCATGGAAAATTCAAGAAATTTGGCATTTCTGGAAGGTTGAAGAAATTGTCTGCAAATTATTACTCTTTTCCAGATAAATTTAGTGTTTGTGATGCATGTTGTTAACGTTGTACTTAACTTGATTAGAAAATTGTCATAGAAACAAAAGTGAAGTTTATCTTTACATATGTTCATTTCAATGTGTTCATTCCATCATTTTAATTTTAAACATTTGACTTTAAATGATTGAATAATACCAAAACTTATTTATACCTTAAAAATACGAAATCGGTGATTATAGGTTCAAAATTCGGAACAGCACCTCATGATCATAAGAAATAAATGGGTTAAAAGAATTCAAAATTTCATCCGGTTAATGCTACAGTGTCAACGGAAAGTCTGAGAATTTTTATCTAACTTGTTGATCACTCTGCTTTGCTCTATACCTTTCTGTTTGTAATCAAGTTAAAAGCATCAAGAGCAAGTTAAATCAGTTTCTTTGCAAAATATGAACATAGGCAATCCAGCTATTTCAATAGCAGTGTTGCTGCTTCAACTCTGATGAAAGTAATGGATGGGCGACTTCTTGATGTATGTTATTTGTTACATTAGCTATCAAAACGTAATAGCTAACCAACCAAAACAACCCATTGCTTAGTGGCGTGAACCAAAATATCAATTGTAAGTTTAAGGGTAAAATAAAAAAATTATGTAAGTTTGATGATTCAGGTCAATCTCGTGTTAAACTGATTGGTAATTTATAAGTTATTGGAACTTTGTTCATTTGTAATGTTGTGGGTGAGAGAAGTTTATTGTAGCTTGCTGTATTATTGAGTTTTCAAATTAGAGCTACTAATATATAGGTAGTATATTTGAGTAACTCACTACCTTCTTTGAGCTTGGGTATACTTTTAATGAATGAAGAATGTCATGTTAAATGCACATATCAAATCATTCAGTGTTTGATAAAATTATTATTTGGATTTAAAGTATTTTGTTTAATTTGTTTTTTATTATTTATAGTTTTTATTTGTAATTTGTTTTATTTTTGTAGATGCTTTTTCTTTTTTAATTTCAAGATGGGTCTTTCGGGAAATTGCATTTTACTCTTGCTTTTCTTTCAGTCACTAAACAGCAAACAGCGACAGCTTCGGAAAGCTGGTAATGAGTTGGCTGAGCCTGATGCACTGGAACTGCAGAGAGTCTCATCTGAACAAGCAGTCCTTCAGAAGCAGTTGGAAGCTAGTCGCAAACAGAGTCGTCAACATGGGGCACTTATTCAGGTTAGAGCAACTAGTGCAAGATTGCTCTCTTTTATGATATTGTATTCTCTTTTAGTTATAGAACTCCAAAACTGTTTAGCCTATGTGGGTCAGTAAAGTACATTTGTAAAAGTACTGTAGCTCTGAAAATCTCAAATGTATCTTCAGTGAGATATCTAAACAAGTAGCTCTAGTGATTATTCTTACAATACCTTCAGTTGTATCTTGAGCATGTAGTAAATGTTGTCATCGGCTCAGCTATCACCAACACATCAACAGACTGGCTGTTCAAAGGAGACTGCAACGTTGTTTAGTATATTATTATCTAGGATTAAATGCATTCTCCTTACCATTCCTTGTACAGAATATCATCCTCTTATTCCTTGGTGAAATATTTTGTTTTTAAATGAGTACAAATGTTATAATGTAACTTTTGAATCAATTTTCTTATTATTTTGTAACATTAATTGCTGGCAATTTTCACTCTTTCTGGTATGTTCTAATGAAGATTCTACACAGGAAATTTCATAATGTGGTTATGTGTACTGTGAAAGTGATTTATTGTCTTCTTAATCACACCTTTTTCTTGTGCAGGAGTATCGTAACAAGCAACAACAGAAGCCACGCCCACCACTCTTGATGAGTACAAATCCCCCTCAGTCACAACAGTCACCACTTGGCCCCCCTGCATCATCACCCATACATCCATCTACTCCTCAGTCTCCAATGATGTCTTCTTCTCCTTCACCTTTACATAGTCCTGGTCCTTTGCTTTCTCATAGTCCTGGTCCTGGGTCTGTGACATCAATGCTTCAACATAGTCCAGGAACCAATAGTGGCTTGTCACCACACAGTCTTCAACCGTCACCTCGAATGGGTACTCCTCATTCTCAGGTTAGTACTGAATTTTGTGTAATGAGTGTGTTTGAACTTAAAAATTGGTAATTATTTTCAAATAATTAATGCATTAACTAAAGAGGAATTTTAGGAAGGCATCATCTTTTCTGAATCCTGATTGTTCTTATCTCTCAGGAGACATTTTGATGTTACCAGAATGTGATAATTTTAGGATCTTGATGTACTGAAAACTGATTAGTGTATTTAAACATGAGAAAAAAGAATCAACTTGTCAAAGGTTATTTGTGTTAATTATTTCAGTACCATAAGAAAAAATTTAAATTCATAGACATTAGACAGGGAGTTAAAATTCATATGATATTGCAAATTGAGTATCTATATATTAGGAAACAAATTTAGATATCAAATAGACACTTTTACAATTCTATCAGAATGGCCCATAAAGTTGTCAAGAAAATAAGTCTATTTATTACTATAATTATTATTTGTAGAGTGAAGAGAGTCCTTTCAGTCCTGGAACTTCCCAAGAGCTGTTACGCTCATTGCCATCTCCACAACAAGCCTGTCCTCCCCCACCAGGGAGACTGACATCTCCACAAGCTACACCTCGTATGGCCTCACCTCAACATAGAATGGGAGCTTCTACTCCTCAAGGCATTGGTCGTATTGTCACCAGTCCTGTTTCATACTCTGGTGAAATGCGTCCTGGACAGCAGCAATTTGTTAATGAGCCTATTCGGTACGTATAGAAATATGTTGAAACCTTTCTAAATTAGTGGTTATATATGTATAAAATTTGTGAAATTGAGTAATTTATTTTGTAGGATACATGCTATGGGGCGCGGAATAGTACGATCCCCAATTGCAGAGCAGCGACCCCGAGGGGTGCCTATTCAAACCTCTGGAGGGACTGTGGGTGTTATGTTTAGTCAGCAACAGGTTGTTAGTAATTTGAGGCCAGGAATTGTCTATTCAAATATTTCCAATCCATCTCCAACTGGGACCAATGTACAGAACCAACAGCAGCAGACACAACTATCACAACAACAGCAACAGCAAATGCTCCAGCAAGTTCAACAACAACAACAACAACAACCTCCACCACCACAGTTGCAGCAACAATTACAACAGTCTCAGCAACAACAACCTCAGCAGATACTACATCAGTCTGTTTTACAGCAGTCAGGAAATCCTCAACAACAAATGATTATTCAACGACAGTTGCAACAACAGCAGCAGCAGCATCAACAACCGCCACAACAGCAACAGTTAGTGCAGCAGCAAGAGGCTATTCAGCAAGATGGAAATTCAACTGCAATAATGCAGAGGCAGTTAGCCCAACAAAGACAGCAGCAGTTTGCTTTGCAGCAAAGGCAACAGCTCCTGCAGCAGCAATTAGCACAGCAACAACAGCAGAGGCATCAACTCCTCCAGCAACAATTAGCCAACCAACAGCAGAGTCAGCAGTCACATTTAGCAAATCAACATATGTTGCAGCAGCAGCAACAACAACAGCAGCAGCAGCAACAACAACAACAACAACAACAACAACAACAGCAACAGCAGCAGCAGCAACAGCAACAGCAACAACTTCAGTCTCAGAACCAACCCCCATCACCTATGACTCCTCGAAGTCCAATGGTTCCTCAGGGATCAAATCAACCTCCAAGTTCACCTATGCCTCCTAAGAGTCCAATGGTTCTTCAGCATATGACCCAGCAACATGGTCATCCTCCCACTTCTCCAATGCCTCCTCGTAGTCCTATGGTACAAAGTCAACCTCCAAGTTCTCCAATGCCGTCACGGAGTCCAATGATGCAACATATGCCACCATCACCCATGCCACCAATTAGCCCAATGGTATCGCAACATCAGTCTTTTACACAGCAGCAAATGGTCTCTAGTCAAGCTCAACCTCCTAGCTCCCCTATGATGTCTCAAGGCATGTCTCCCATGTCCATGAGACACCCATCCACTAGTAGTATTGGTAATAGCCCTGCTGTTCAAGATCAAAACCAAAATATAGATCATCCCAATACTCCTCGAACACCTCACACACCTCATACTCCGTATACTCCACAACAGCATGCTGAAAATGATCAATCTAATGGAAATAATGCATCAAATAACAGCACAAATGAAGGGGGTGGTGGAGGAAATCCCCGTCACCCTTTTAATCCTATACCATTTTTGTTTGGTAGTTTTGGATATTTCAAGCTTGGCCTTAGAGGGGGATCTCCCATGTGGTCTATTGGTAACAGTTATGGGAGAGGAAATCGTCAACAGGGGTCCTCAAACAAAGAAGCTGGTTCTTCTGAAAATCCAAGACAACAGCCATCTAGTTCTAGTTCCTCACATACTGCAGCATCATCTGGAAGTATAGTTTCAAAAGTTACTTCTCTTGTTTGTGCGGATTACAATGACTTTGATGATGATAATTCTCATACACCCCCTCTCACCCCTTCCACAACAGAACTAGAACGACCTCAAGTTGTAGCTTCAGTGAGTGAAATAACCTCTTCAGAATTGGAAAGTGAACAGTTAATAATAAAAGAAGTTGATGAAGAAGAAGCGGTTTTAGAAGAGGATGAGTTAGATGCCAAGAGCACAGAAGTAGTTTTAGATGCTGGGGTTGGAGCCTCCACATTGCATGATCTTCTTGAACAGGAAGGCTCTGTGTCTGTAGAATTGCCATTAGTATCAGCAGATTCAACTGACTTAGTTATTGGACATATCTCTGATGCAATTGCTCAAGTATCTCATGAAACTGAGGTAGTAGAAGAATGTGTTGTGGTATCTAATATCCTGAATCTTCCTGTAGAAATATCTGATGAGGTTGAACGAACACTCCAGGATCTTGAAGAAAAAGACAAAGATGATATAAGCCATGAAGATGATGATATGGAAACACACATAATTATGGAAATTGATGATAGGAAAGATCTAGAAGCAGACAGTTTGGATACAGTACACAAAATGGTTGAATGTGTTGAAGCAGGAGTTGCACAAATAATTAGAAATGAATCCTTGAGTAGAAATCAAATTGTGGAAAGGATAATAGAATCAAGACCAAAGTTAGAAGGTGGATTGCGTATTGGAATTGTGCACAGTTTAGGCCCCTTGCAAGATGAAAAAATTGTTGCTGTTACAGACACTCCTGAATCGCCAGACCAGGAAGAAATGAATGTAGATCCTTCTCCAGAACCATTCTTGACAACACCTGATGCTGTACGTGATGAAGATGATGAACTTGTTCATGATCACAGTTTAGGAATGGAAGCACTTTCACAATCAGCTTCTGATGGTGAAATGGAGGTGGTTCATGAACTACATGCTTACGTAGTCGATGAAAAAAATGAAGAAATTACTCTTGAACTAGATAGAGAGGGATTACAGTGTGTTGAAAATCTCCCCAGTGTTGAACCAAAAGAAGAAGAACCTGAGGAAATGCAGGCAGAGTCTTCTCTGGATGAATCTTCAGAAAAAAAAGAAGAAAAAACAGTTCCATCTATACCCTTCTGCTTACCTCCTAGTAATCAGCTTCCACCATCAAGTTTTCATCAAGCCAACATTGGTGTTCCAGGTGCTTCTCGGCCTGTTGTTACCTATGCTACTTTGTCTCGAGTTACAGCACCAGAGAATAGTTATGGTACAGGTGTTAGTTTGTCTATGTTACTAGGATCGCAAACAAAAGATTTGCCTACTGGTTGTGTTGTTGTGAGATCACCAGCTACAACCACTGCAACATCAGCCATAAATACTGTGCTTGTATCGGCTATTCCATCTGAACAAAAAAGTCAGTCATCTGATCAGATAAAAAACACCTCATCTCAATTAACATCCCTTTTGTCTGGTGATGTACAAGTGAATAATAGTAATTCTGATAAACCTGTCACTGGATGTTCTGTTCTTCAAACTTCACTCACAACTCCTCCTACGAGATCAACTGGTTCTACAACTTCTACTTTATTGTCATCTTCATTATCTTCTTCCCTTAGTGAAGCTAAACCTTCAGTAACAATTGTAAATGTTTCTTCCATTACATCTGGGACTACAAGGCTACCAACAACAATGGATATCATAAACTCAGCTATTGTATCAACAGTAACTCTTCCTGGTGGTTCTAACACAAGACCTTTGTCTTCATCAACTGTTACATCATTGGCTGCTGATGCTGTTAACGCAGCTCGGTTGCCATATCCTCCAGCAACAATAAGTCAACAAGCTGCATTGGGATTGGTAACAACTGCAGGAATAAGCTCAATAACACCATCTGGCATTAGTGTTATTGCTTCAGTTCCAAAAGCTACAGCAATTCCTGAAACACGGAGCACTACTATTACTACTTATGTCCAGACTCCCAGAATGGCTGTGCCCTCAGTTTCATCTGAAAGTACTGAAAAGTTTCCTGTTGTAGGACCTCTAATATCAAGAATTGTTACTAGTGAAAGTAATGTGACAGAGATTCAATCCTCTCGTTCCTCTCTTGCTCCAGAATCACTAGAAAATAAAATGACAGAAGGTGTGATAACAAGAAATCCTGAAGAAAAATCAGTTATAAATACTGTTGAAGGGGCACGAAAGGTTGTTCCCCAAGAGATTACTACTATTCAGTCTGGAGATGAGCATGAGTCTTCCAGAACTTCTACCCCAACAGGACAGATTTCCCAAGAATCAAGACCAAGTGTTTTTGCTATTGCAGATAAAGCATCTTCTGTTCCAGTACAAACGAAAATATCTAGTGACATTTCTTCTATTTCTGATATTGTGAAAGATAGTGGAGATAATTCTGCTTTATCCACTACGTCTGTTTCTCAAGTTATCCGAACAATTAGTAGTGTGTCTTCAGGAATTAATGAGACAGCAAAGAAAAGCATATCTACTTCCTCAGATTCTGGTTCAGTGACTATCTCATCAGTTACAAATAGCAAAAATATATCAGAATCTGTGGAAAAGAAAGATTGTATTAAAACAATTGCAAGTGTAGAAGATGTAAAAATTTTATCTTTAATGCCGTCTTTGTCATCTCCTTCAACTATATCACGAACTTCTCAAGTCACTTCAAAAACAGATGTTCTCTCGTACATTTTACAGAAAGGTACCATTCCTAAGAATCTGGAGCCCATTCCCTCAGCCAAACCTGAATTACCTAAAGGATCATCAAGCTTAGCAGCTTTGCTTGATCAAGCACCTCAAAATCTTACTCCAATCTCCATTGAAAAATCAGTTGAAGCTGCAATTGGTGAATCAGGCCATATGACAAAAACCACTCTTGCCAGTATTTGTTCATCACGGCCTCATCATTCAGTTACTATAAAGACATCTGGGCAGAGTATGCTTGAGAGTCGTTTGACCAGATTGGCAGGTCCAAGTGTATCAAAATCTCAGGAAACAAATTCTTCTACTGTGTCTGCAGTAAATGATGTGCCTTCTAGTTTCACTTCATGTGTGAGTAGTACAGTTAATTCTAGTGGTCGCCCAAGTGTTTCAGAACATATGGGATCTGTGAAGAGAATAAGTGTTGAGCAACCACTTGCTCATTCTTCAGGACTTACAATGGGAATTACTACATCAGGAACTACTAGTGTATTAACAAAAAACACTAATCAAGTGTCTCCCTCTGATAGTAGTGTTTCAGATACTCCTGTAAGTACTAGTGTGAAAGTTAGTGTTCCTCAGTCTGCTATTAATGCTGCTGATAGTGTATTAGCATCTACAGTGTCACATGCTCAGCAGTCATCTAATGTTCAATCTCAGGTTGTAAATATATCTAGTAGTAATGCTTTATCTTCACAGATTCAGACAAATCCAGCTTTCACATTTGGTGTAGGTTTCAGTAAAAGTACACCAACTGTTGTTATGACTCCCATTGGCAGTCATCCCAGTTCAGGTACTACAAAATCTAGTCCCCCAACTACAAGATTCCCTGGACTTCAAGGAAATGAAACTACCACAACTGTGCAGATATCCTCAAGTAATAGTGACTCCCAAATAGTAAGACAACTAAGTAGTGGGCAAGTGAAGCAGGAAGAAGTTGCAAAGCCTGGAGGAGGTCAATTAGAAAGATTGATTAAGAAGGAAATTGTAGAAGAAGCTCACAACAGTTCATTAAGTATTCAGCATCCTGTTGTAAATATTTCAGGATCCTCTGGAGTATCAGTATCTGTTGTAAAAACTGAAGTTCCGTTAGTCACTAGCTCTAGTAAATATTCTGGAACAAGTTCTGTTTCTATCTCCACAGCACAAATACAGAAGTCAGAAGAATCGCAGAATGTGCTGTTAAAGCAGTTGCTTCAAAATACAGCATGTGCCCAGCAGTCATCATCTCAACCACAACCAATAGCAACTAGTACCATTATGGCTCCAGTCACAAGCCAGCATTCAGCTCCTAGTTTGCCTGTAGTGCCTTCTTTGGAAGCTCAGCTAGCTCAGCCAGTTCCACCCACTCCATCATCTCTATTTACTCCTCTATTGTCGAGTGAAGGTCCTCAAAGTATGAAGCCATCAACTTTACGTTCAGCTCAGAGTGCTGCTACAAGAGAACCATCTGCTCCAGCTAGGCAATCCCAGACATCTGTTCAAAATAATTCTCTGATACCAGGGCAACAAACTGGAGTGGTTGTGCAACAGAAACAGCAGCAGCAGGCACAACAGTTGCAACAACAACAGCCACAGCAGTTGCAACCACAGTCACAGCAACAGCAGTCTTTTACACAGCAGCAACACCAGCATCACTCACCACAACAGCTATCACTACAGCAGCAAAAATCACCTCAACAGCAACAGACTCAATCACAGTTGACCCAGCAACTCTCTCTGCAGCCTGGCCAACAAGTACATTCTGCTCAACAGCAAATGCATCAGCTGTCTACCCAAGCACAACAGTTACCTCAACAAACCCAACATTCACAATTTGTTCATCTTCAGCAACAACAGCTGCAATCACCGCAGCCACAACAACTTCTACCACAAAACTCACAGCAACTACCAGCACCACTGCCGCCGCCAGCCCTACCCCCACCCCTACCACTTCCTCCCCCACCACAACAACAGCAACAACAACAACAGCAGCAGCAACAACAACAATCACAACAGCAACTGCAACAACTACAGAAACAGCCTCTTTCACTACAGCAACCACACTTGATTCAACAGTTACCGAAGCAGCAGCATCAGCAACAGCAGCCACAAGGACCACAGATTCAACAGCATCAGCATCCTTTACAACAGCAGCAACAAATTCATATACAGCAACAACAGCAGCAGCAGCAGCAACAACAACAGCAACAACAGCAACAGCAGCAGCAGCAACAACAGCAACAGCAGCAGCAGCAACAACAGCAGCAACAGCAACAACAGCAACAGCAGCAACAACAACAACAACAACAACAACAACAACAACAACAGCAGCAGCAGCAGCAGCAGCAAGGACAACTTCAACCTTCTTTACAACAGCAAGCAGCTTTGCAGCAACATGTGGTATTACCACAGCAGCAACGATCACCTGTGTTACAGCAACAACTGTCATTGCAACAACAGCAGAGGCAATCATCACCTATGTTACAGCAGCAACCACAGTTATCACTGACACAGGCACAATTGCCATTACAACAGCAATCACAACAGCAATTGCCTCTTCAGATGGTTACCCCAATCACCGAAAGGCGTATTGTCACCCCTACTCGCACTCCTAGTAGAGAAGAACTGATGTCTCCTCCCACCCCTACAACTCCACGTTCAATTGGAAGTGGTGCAGATTCTGCAGGTCTTCATACTCCATCTCCTTTAACTTCCCCACAGGCCACAATAAAACGAGAAATGCCTCAATCACAAATTAGTCCCATTGCTTTGATACCACCTAATGAAGTGAAGAAGGAAGTAATGGATGACATGCCAACACAGATTTCAACTCCCGAAAGAAAAGATTTTCCTACAAAAATAGAAGCTAAAGATGAAATAAATGATTTAGAGCTTACTTCAGATAAAATGTTGCAGGATCAAGCTTCTCTTGGTAAGTGGTTTATTGAAGTAAAGGTTAGAAAAGTAACTTATTGAATTTTTAATTGCAAAATTATTTGACAATTTTCTCTTTGTCAGATAAAAAATTGAAAAGAAGGCAGTATCAGCAGAAACGTAGGCAGAGCCAGGGTAAAGAAGCTCAAACACCCAAGAAAAGACAGAGAAGACAAGTGAGTAATTGTGTTTTTGAAAATTACATGTTTTTAATCATTAAAGCTTTGAATTTTGTGTCCTGATTCAATGATAATAGAATTTTATTATCCAGAAAAAAACTACGGAAGAAAATTGTGTTGGCAGCAATTTAGATTAGTAAACGAACTGCAAATTTATTTTCTGCATTGCTAACAAATAGTAACTCGTTCTCCAGAGAAGAAGAATGATTTTATTAAGAAATAAAAGATACAGAAACTAGAATAAACTATGCTAACTCAAACACCATAACACCATACCAGCAATTATAAACGCCAAGAACTCCGAAACTGTAATGAAATATAAATATAAAGGAATATAATCAAGGTTTCGCGTTAGTCCGCATGTTTCCAGCGGTCATTCTCGCTCACAGCCCTTGAATTCACTCTCAAATATGTGTGTTCAGCTGATTCGGAGATAAAATAGGAGAGTAGTACTTCTAAAGTAAAATAAACCCTCTAGAAGCCAAGTGGAACTCATATTCTACTCGAATTATTATCTTGAGTAATGGTACTCTCGGTAACTACTCTCAACTTTTACTCGTCTGTGGTGAAACCGCCCATAGTCTGTAAACAGTTCAGCATGAGTTCCCTGTCATTCTAAGACAATTATGTTTCCGAATAACATCTGTCGCATTACATCTTCCAAAGCCAAGCCAAGCTGTCTCTCAAGTAAACGTCGGTAAATGTTCAAAGGTAATACTACAAAAGACACGGATCTGAGCAACAATGAAAATTCCTTCATTAAGTTTATCAAGTACTAACAAGTCCACGAAATTTAGATAGTAAAAAGTGGAATATTCCTGGCCACCTTTGTCCATTGGTTCAAAAATTCTTTATAAAGGCCCAATTTCTAGATTGATATTATGGTAAACCTGTCTTTGTCAATTGGGCATGCATGCGACACAGGATCAGGATTTTATCAGGATTAAACTTTCTCTCAAAGACCACTCTTTGACTACATAATGTTCTTTCCTTCCCCTACTGTCCAGCTGCCAAGAAATAGTCATATTTTGTCGTAAGTAGTCTGCATCCTAAAGTAGTTCCAGAACTCTTGACGATGACACGATTTCCCATTTGCTTTTCAAATAGCCAGAAATACTTTAGGAGTAGGCCCTCATGTCTCGTAGGTTTCCTTTAACTGACAGAGAAAGCCACTAGGCATCGATGTTCTCCTTTCCTTAGGTTAAAGACGACTTTAGAGACAATGGAGGAATATTATACATAGGCGCCATTTTGTTCCATTGTGAATCAATCCAATTTTTTTAAGCTAGCCCATTATATTACATTATACAAAACTATGAGTCATTTTCCATTCCGTTGTGTGCTTTTGGTAATATGGGAAAAAGAATCAGAAATGCGAAACTGGAGCATGAAAATTCAAATTGGTACGAATCTGTGTTTGATTTTACTTGAGATTACTGTTACTTTGTTAAAACAAAAAGAAAGGCAATCTAATGTGTCTCTAGTTGTCTCCACAACATTGGTTGGCAAATGCATAGATGCGGGATGCCTATTGCAAATCAGGCTCTTAAATAGCGGAGCAACTGAGCAACTGTTTTGGTGATGAGCAACACTATCCTGACCTATCTTTTGATTCCAAAATACACGTTGTGACGGTGTGTGCTGTTTTACATTAAATTGTAAATTCATTGAATAAACAAACATATTCACACATATTGTTGAATATAAAAAAAAATGCTATTTCCCCTTATTTTAAGTCATTTATAGGCCAATTTTGCAAAGAATTATAGCCTTCATCAGTATAACGAGCCCTGGAAATATTTTTTTACAATTATAACATTGTTAATTCACATAACATCATATACATATGTATTAATTAATCGCAATTAAGTATTACAATCGCCGCGATTTATAAAATAAGTTTAGCTAAAATGTATAGTTAATAATAAGTTAAAAGCGCATAACAAAATTTCACAACGCCTAACATCAAAAACTGCATGTCGCTTCGAAGATTCGCATAGAGTTGTCCATGAGCTCAAATTTGCTTTGATAGTGTTTATTATTATTTATTATATATTATTATTATTTTATTATTATTATTATTATTATTATTATTATTTGGAACCGAAAGATGAGAGGTTCTCAACTTTCGAAAAGTCGAAAAGTGAAAGGCGCCACATCCCTGGGCATATTTAGAATCCTACGAACCAGTTTACTAGCCAGATACCTAATTGACGCACCCATGTTCTTTTCCACGGCTTTTTTCCAGGACCACGGCCTTTTCTACGGAAACTTTGCTGCCGCCCACGAGCCATGGTCACGTTTTCCGGCCGTTTTTGTACGCTCCACTACATCTCGCTACCGGCACCCCAGCGAATTTCATTGTGTTGTATGTTTAATAGATTTGTACCTGCCAATCTTCTTGGATATTTGCTGCTAAAACGATACACAAACAATTATCAAACAGTGTTCTTACATCGCAGTGCGGCTGGTCAGCGCTGGCGATCTCGCACGCCGGGCTAGAGTCCACGAGGGAAATGACAATTTTCTGTCTTGTCTGAAAATTCGCCCAAACCACAATCACAAAAACTTAGCTATTATAAACATCCAATACACCGTAAGAGAGTATCTCTAACGTTTGTACAAGAGCATAACTTTCCAACATCCGCCTATTATGATTTCAACTTAATAGTTACTCACGACTTTACAGAAATAACTATTCCGCCGCGTTTATAAAAAACGCATAAACAAAGGAGGGCCAATGCTACCGAAAATAGTTAATAATAAATAACATAATATAAATAATTCTGATAAGAACCTCGGTCCATCGTCAGATGCAAATATTGTAATTTTGCACATATATACAGAGAATACTACAAAATCAAGAATCTGAAGCAAGCTAATTAAAATAGAAAACCAGAATATTTGAAACGCCATTGAACTTTAACTTCTCTAATTCGGACTATTAAAAACGATTACCAAGCTTCAAGAATTAAAATGTTGTCTATTGTCTTCGTTGAGAAAATTGGCGATGAACCATATATTTGGTTAAACCAAACGAAAAATAAAGCAGAGAATGAGAAACATCAAAGGAAATCGATGACACATTGAATACAATCTCTAAATATATTGCAGTTACCACGCACGTTTTGATTCCAACAATCCAATAGTTAAACAGAGAACATCGAAACATAAGAATAAAAACACCAAACAACAATAAACAAAACAATAGAAACATGTTAATTTATTGCGGTTAACTTTTATAACTGTCCCGTCAAAACAGCATAACTTTCTCGTCGGTATTATAGAATTACGTAATTACTATTTATACCGCAATTTTCCCATTAACACATCTCAATTATATTTTTTCGAAACCATTAGCAAATCGCTAAAACATTAGGCGCGAAAACAAAATATTCAAGCAAATCATTCAAAACAAAATTCGACAATTATGAATTGCGTTCATGCAACTAATCATGTACCAACAAGACGGAATTCACAAACTACAACTACCGTCTCAGGAGGAATGCCATTGTCGCCATTCCAATCTGAAATTTTCTGAAGGTTACAATTTCTCTTTTAAACTAAAGTGTAATTCACATTAAATCGAACTTTGAGACAGAAACCTAATTGGGATAATTTCAATTAAGATTTGCGAATTGCTTGAAAGAAAATACATAAACACATTGGCGAATGCCAAATACATTCCTCTCAACACGGACGAAAATATGTTTATCTAATAGCCTTTAAAGAATTTCTAAAAGATACGTACAACCAAAGCTGAATGGAAGAAACAAAAAGAAATCTGAAATAACAACAAAATCCAACTTACGTAGCACGTCTCCAAAAGACCTATCAAATTACCGTTTTCACGAAGCGCGGGAAATTGAAGCGACGACTGTTTACAACCAAATTACACAAACAAATACTAAATTTTCGAAAAATTAACTATGACATGTTTTGAAATGTTTTGAGAACACATTTCATTAAGAGAAAAATGTTACCTACACAATTTTTAGTTTAGGAAACCCCCAAAAAACTTTTGCAATTTACAAAAACACAGAATTTTTATTTCAATAACAATAATCCGAATAAAATCCGGTTGAAATGCGCTTCGCAAGCAAGACGACATTTACGAATAAAAAGAAAGAGGAATACGCCCTATATCGAACCCTGCAGGATGTTCAATTGACAGAATTTGGAGAGATAAGAATTAAAGGAAGTTTGTTGCACCCACAGCGGAAGGCATATCGATTCCTCTACCGTGCGTAGATGCACCATAAGGGCATGCTCAGAAGATCAGATAGTGCTGTTTAACGTTCGAGAGTGCCAAAAACTCCTTTTCTTTCTGCCAGACACTACTATTCTGGCGCTCTAAAAGTTTTTAGCAGGCAGTCTGGATAGCCGAAGTCGTTAGGCTATAGGGCCATAACTCCATCGCCGAATGGAATCGCGGTTTCGAAACCGCGTTCGGACATGGATATTTGCGTAATCGTGTTCGTGTTCCCCTACAGTAACCCAAATAAACAATCCCAAATAAATAATGAACTACATGAAATAATTAAATATAATAATAATTATAATAAATGTTGACTACCAGACGATTAACAATTTGCCATTAAACCAATTTTTCGTATCTAGGTCACTGAAAAGCGTGGATAACAGACTATACAAGTAATTTACTCCGTAATAATTCCCTAATAGAACCAATAACTACCAACGAGCTTTCTGTCGAAAAACTCCGGCCCCCCCCCCAGCGCGCACGCACACCCATCTCCTCTGAGTAAAACGATCTGCAATAATTTTATTAAGGTTTTCCTGTCAATCCCTGAAGCTGCGTGAGGGTTGTCAAATTGCATGTGGAATGTACGTGAAACCAATGAGCAGCGATTACTTTATTACTTTGACTTTGTAAACAATGTTAATGTCTACAGAAACTTGTCCTACTAAATATTTTTCTGCGTTAAACTATTTTTTAAAAATCTTGTTTACCACAACCATGTTCAAAATATTATTAT